CTCCGCCTCCCGCTATCCCCCTCACCGCACCGCCCCGCGCGCAATCCAAATGCCGCTCAACGCTTAGGAATGTACTAAGGCGCTCATGAACGTAAGGGGCATTCGACACGTTGTAATCTTTATTCTATCTTTTTTTTCGCTCATTACGTACGAAACTAATAGCGAATTCGGTTGAACGTACTAGTGCATATTAGTGTACATTAAAGCCGTTATATACGCAGATTTAAAACGAAATTAAACCATGAAATCTACAATAGATGTTATTGTGCCGTTATGTAAAATCTGTATTTTATAATTTGAAATATTTGCATTTTACTTTTACACGGATTAAATCTGCGTATAACGGCTTTAATGTACACTAATGTGCACTAGTACGTTCAACTGAATTCCCTATTAGTTTCGAATGTAATGAGCGAAAAAAAAGATAGAATAAGATTACAGCGTGTCGAGCGCCCCGAACGAATGCCCCTTACGTCTACGAGCGCCTTAGTACATTCCTAAGCGTCGAGCGGCATTTGGATTGCGCGCGGGACGGTGCGATGAGGGGGATAGCGGGAGGCGGAGCCGACTCGAAAATCGGCCGAAATGTGCATTTCGTGTCGAGCCCTGAATTAAGTGATAGGAACATGATTGTTAAGGCCATGTTGCATTCATTTCCCCACTCCTGCGCTTTTGTGATACCACCAATCAACTTGCGTGCGTGCAGAAAGTCGTAGCGCTGGTGTAGAAAGAGTTCGGCGGTCAGCGCCATGAAGCGTTATCCCATCAGTAATCGTTTTTGTTTTAGTTTTCGTCACATTAACACACGTTATTTTGTATATCGCGCAGCAAGCAAGTTTATAAGCAAATAAAGTTGTAGTCATCTTCGACAAAGGGAAGAGAGACAGCGTGAGTTATTTTACCTCGCGTATCCTACATAAAACTTGGTCCTTCGAGCCGGATCGGTGAGAAACGAGCAGTATCGGTACACGCAATTACGATATCATTGTGCGAGGAGCTACGAGAGCCTTCTCTCGCGTCATAAGCAGGCTTGTGCGAAACAAAACGGGCCTCAGCATTTCAAGGATTCTCACGGATCGAGTCGTACTTCCAAGCACAGGTTAACTCGGGAGTGTACGTATCAATTCGCCAGGAATTCAGCCGTTATTCGTTACGTTCGAAAGGGAACGCCATAACGCCACCATTATTGTCGCCGCCACGTGAGGTACGAGGTGCAATCGATAAATGATCAATATAGCAATTCGTCAGTCGGTAAGTCTTCAAAGTGTTCATTTCACCTTTTTACCTTCTGTGCCATTTGCATTGCCTCACATAACCCTTTTGCATTTCGTTGTCAATATCAATCATGAGTGACGCAGAAAAATTGAAAAGACTGAACATAAGAAGAGGTCAGATAAAGGCCTTATGCACGAGAGCGCATAACACTCTCGACTCCGGTGCAGTGTGGTTAGATCGAGGGACGATTTTGTCCCTCCGGTCTCTTGTGCGCATGCGTCAACTACGTCACGAGCCTTTACAGGTTCGTAGCGCTCTTGCTGGAATGCAGTATACGGTGATCATATAGGGCGACCTAGATTTTTTAAATATTATTTTTGTTATATTTATTATTACATTAAAAATATTAATGTAATATTTATTTAATAAGTAATATCGTTACTAGTCATTTCTGTGATAGTACTTAAAGATGCATTTTTTTCAAAATTAGATTTTTTAAATGTATTTTACTTATTTTAATTTTTTTTTCATTTTTTGAATGATTGTTTTATTTCGAAAGTAAAATATATAATTCTTTTATTTTATTATAACATAAAATGTTTTTTTTTGTTTTCCTCGTGGATTGATGGCAATGATGGGAGGATATTATAATCATTTTAGTTTTGTTTTAGCTCTTCGAATGGATTACTCCATGAATTGCTGTAT